CGTTCTACCAATTTGTACCAAACTCGGTATGGTTATTGTGCTTGCCACATAAAAGCAAAACATTGAAAATTATTGAAATCGGACTAGAATTACGGCCGCTTTTTATATAACGGTAAATTTCTGAAATGCTTGAAACTTCAATATTTCAAAATTTAAGGAGGCTAATTTGCTCAAAATTGACACACCTCGGCTTACCATATAGCGGTAGCTTTCGGAAAGGTGAAAAAAATATATTTAATACGTGCGACGGGTATTTAATTTTCGGCTCCGCCCGAACTTAAACTTTCTTACTTGTTTTAATTCACTTTGGCCACAATTTCGAAAATTTTCACAAGAGAGACTGGGACTCTTACACCGTTGCAAATGCGGATCCAAAGTGGATATATGTAGGAACGGGATTATAATTAGGGACTTCCATATTAGTAAAATGTTTTTTCCTCCTGAGCATCATGAACCTTATTCACTCAGAACTCAATAGATCCAAGGCAATATGTGTTACGTTTAAAGTTAAGGGCGACGATGTGCGTTTCTTGTTATAGAAAGACAAGGTAATCTTGGAAGTTTAGCAGAGTGAAAAGTTTTATCCGCGTTCATTGACTACTAGAATTGTACCATCTCTCACAAACTGATTAAAAGTGACTATAGCTTTGCCTACCCTGGACTCTCTCGGAAGGTTGTGGTTTCCTTGTAAGGTTGGCAATTAACTTCAATATCCCTGGTGGTCTCGTCGGTCAAATGACAGAGCATCTGCGGGAAAATATGCGTCAGATAATCCGCTGTCAAGACACTGTGAGTTATCAGAATCCCTTAGTTTTTTTGTATAAAACTTCTTCGACCACACTTAAGTTTAATATTATTATTATTATTATTATTATTATTAAAGGAAAGGGAGAGTAGATCCCTATTTTACCACAAAAAAAGGAGCACTAGTACGCGGAAAGCATGAAAAGTGCTGATTGCCTAAAAGTCTGGTGTGGAATTTTAACTTTGTTATTCTTCATATAAAAAAATTAGTGTGGCAACACTGCTCACAACTTGAGGCTAATTGGCTATGTATACGAGTGAGAGATAGAATCCGTTAAAGGTGACTGGTAACAAAATCAACGAAAATAATTACCTTATTTGACACAATTTCGCATACTGGAGCGCAATAAAGTTAATTGACATTATTACCTTTTCAAAAGCGAAATAAAATCCGTTGACATTATTGCTCTTCCAAAGATTAAATTTGCGTAGCTTCGCAGTATCCCGTGTCCGCATGCCACACCGGCGTTTTTGGACATGGCGGCAATCGCACCGCAATACAAAATAATAGCCGTCATCGATTCGCCACTTCTCGCTCGCTATGTTTGAGTTCCGGTAGCTTAAAGAAGAATTTTGCATGTGAAAGCAACAACAAAGTTAGCTAGCACGGATAGACGATAGCGAGTTTGGTTGTAGCTCATTGAGTTCGTTCGTTTCGCCACTCGCTAACTGTTGGCGAATCGATGACGGCTAGTGTTAATTTACGTTATTTCCGTTGGTTTTGTTACCTGTCATCTCCGTTAAATACTTACTAAGCGAATCACTCGTTCTACAAAGGAACAATTTATTCGCAGACAAGGACAGCGCACAAAATAGAGGGTCTCATCAAATTATCGGGCATGTAGCGTCTAGATCAGTTCTCCTCTTTCGAACCCAATCTAACTATCCCTGTGAAACTAAGAACGCAGCTAGCTAACTTTGTTGTTGCTTTCGCATACAAAACTTTTCCTTAAACGACCGGAACTCAAACATAGCGAGCAGAGAGTTGACGAATCGATGACGGCTATTCTTTATGTGTTGCTTAGAAAGTAGACCGTTAGTTATTTGTAGCAGAATTAAATTTATTTACTTATTTCATTTATTTATGTTGGATTTACTTTCTTAGCAAAAAATAAAGAATATTCGTGGTTTTTTGTCTACCCAGTAAAATGTCTTTGGATTTAGCCAGCAGGTTTACACTCTAAGGGCAACTTTTCAGTGCGCGGCTATGTTTTAAACTTAGTTTAAACGCTCGAGTTGGTGGTTTAAACTGAGATTACGCTATCAAATGTCAGCCAGCTGGTTAAGATAAGCGCAGTTTGCGTGATCTACGTTTAAAATGGCTCTGCAAAACTGGCCCTAAAGGGTGATATGAGTAGACTATACGCTAATAAAGAATTGCAGCAGAACTGATATTGTAACTAAGTATGTGCAGTCTTTACATTATCTTCAGATAACTAAAGACTAGCTTTAACGGCTGACCAGCTCGCATTTAAATTTACGCCTAAACTTTAGAGTTCCAACCTCAGCGAGAGCCTAAAAGTATGCGCCTTGAGCAGCGCGTTTTCCGCTAAACATAATTAAACTTAATCATGGCTTAAACGAAAGTGAAACCACATCAGCTGTCAGCTGTTCAAGGCAAGACTTGTTGATATTGTGCGGAACCGGCTTCGAGTGTCATGTTTGTTGGCCACCACGAAGCACTAGAGAGCGATTCGTTACGTCATTACACCATTTTCGCCGTTTAAACATATCGTGGCGTCACTGACGTGGATGATGAGGAAAAGGTAAACACAAAGTGTAATGACCGTAGAGCGGTATTGTAGTGTCATACATATTTAGGCACTTGTTCCCATTGAAGTAATGTTAATAGTGTTCGCTATTTATTTATTTACTTTTTCCAAATTTTATTTAAACCCCTGACACCGTCCCGCTGCCATCTTTTGGAGCGCTCGCGGCGGTGAATTTACTAATACAACATTTTTCTCATTACCTCTGCTAACGCTCGTCTCCTCAGCGTTTTCCATTCACTCTCGCTTGCTATCGCCGCGTGCTAATCGCACACACAGCTGAGCGGTACTTCAAGCTGTAGTGGTCGCGCCCGTGTATTGAGCGGATAACTTAAACGCTTTATCAAAGCTGTGTTACATTTAAGCTATCGCTGCGAGCCAAGTCAACTCGCGTTTAAGCTACGCCATAGCCGCTTTGGAGGAGGCAGTCCAGTGGTCGCGGGACATATTCTTCTACGTGACTTAGTTACGCTCCGCGCTGTCGGTTTCACATCAACGCATTGTTTCTCTGCATATGTGTGCAGCATTTTCGAAATTCCGAACTTTTGAAGTCTTTAGTCGACAATGCACTTCAATTGTTTCGCCGTCACCTTGGCGCTATCAGTCGCGTATGGCGCGCGCGCAAATACGGACGCCGAATTGCCTTTGTTTTCACAAGAAAGTAGCGACAGCAGTGGCTCCCATAAAACTCCCATACCACCGGTCCACTGTGAGATACCCAATGAGGAGAAATTGGGCATCTGCATGGAGGTGGGCAACTGCTCAGCTTATCTACAGGCGCGCAATATAACCGACGTATCCTCAGAGAAAGTGAACTTCCTGAAGAAGGTGCAATGCTCATGCAAAGATAGCGGAGATCGCATTTTTCAACCCTTGGTATGCTGCCCAGCCAACGGACAGGACTACTTATATCCTTCGTTGAAATTTTCGAAATTCGAGTATCGCCGCTTTCAAAACGTCACGGCTCAGTTCAAACGCAAGAAGTTGAAACGTCGCATACAAACAGTGGAGCCGGCGCAGAGCTTCAACTTGCGCAACGAATGTGGCAAACAGGTGACGAACCGCATTTATGGCGGCGAGATCGCCGAATTGGATGAGTTCCCATGGCTGGCGCTGCTGGTGTACAACTCAAGTATGATTCACAATATATGTACAAATGACATATATGTATGTAATAAAGTGATTGGTGGACAATGTGCTAAAATGTTTTTGTGCTCCGTTTCGTTCGCAGATGATTTCGGTTGCAGTGGCGCGCTGATAGACGATCGACATGTGCTGACGGCGGCGCATTGCGTGCGCGGCGAGGGCGTGCGCGAAAAGCGGGGATTGTAAGTGACCAAAGTGCTATGGCATATTCTGGAAAACATAAAAATAATCAATCTGTTTGAAAACACATCAGCAGTCAGTACCATGATTCAGCACTTCTTTTTTACTTAATTTTTACAGTACTTATTTTTATGCCGGATTTCCACTAGGCATTGAATGGCAAAAATGATAATGACAAAATTGGGCATTCAAAAATATTCGTGTCATTACGTTAAATAAATAGTCACTAAATTCATTTCCACGTGGCATTTTTTAAATGGCACCAATTTTTTGTCATTTCAATGCCTAGTGGAAACTCGGCATAACAACGATATATAAGTACATATGTAGATACATATCGATCTTTAGAAATGACACAATTCAAAATTCTGCATCTTTTAAGTTATACGCTAAAAATGTACGCAGAGCTTTTATTGACATTTCAGCAAAAGCTGGAGCGAATTTTTGTTTTAATTTGTTGAAAAAACCTTAGGTCAAAGCTCCTAAAAATCGTGTGCGATATATTTTAACGTAGAAAAATTTGTTCGACAGAATGCTAAACGTGGGTTCTTTCGAAATTTATTATCCAGACTAATTACTTTCTTCGGCTGCCAACTCCCGCGTAATATCGTGTGAAAAATATTTTTAATGCCATTGGAAAGTCATTGCAGATTTGGTGATTGTCTTTCAAATCATTTATTTACATATACATATGTATATATGTATATATATAAGAAGGTCGTTTTGTTCAAAATTAGTTATTTATTAAAAAAAA